TGGGATGCTAACCGCGGTGACCGCTGGCCGTCCTGGTGGCCGCGGGACAGTTTAGGAGATTTGCGCGGTTCCAGGTTCATTCTATAGAGCAAAAAAACCCGGAAAAAAAAAAACAATCGAACTTTCCAGGATGTTATCAATGTGTCTTATCAAGAAAATCTCGCTGAATAGTGTAAATGGCCCAGATAAAAATAATAAGAGTTGGAACCTAAAATATAGCCCAAGCGATGATCTCAAACCACTTCGGTATCGATGCAGCCCCCTTGGGAGAAATCACCAGGAAAAATAAATGGCGAACAATGTAGATGTTGTTTTCGGGTGAAAATTTGCTTTCAGGTTTCAATTCAGCAGAGTTTGACTGTACAATAATCATCACTTTTTTTTTCTTTTTTTTTTTTTGTAAGCGTCTATGTGATGTTATGTTTTGTGGTTTTAGGACAGGGATGCGTACTAAGTCATGTCACTTTTTCTGTTCCTGTCGCTCAGTGGTGTTTGAAAGGGTTTTCTGATCATTGTATGGGGTTTCTTTTTGATTCCAACTATTAATATAGGCAACAATAAATACTTGTGGGGTAGGGGGGGGGGCATCTATTACTCGTTATTCACGTCAGGGTTCAGTTACAGCTCGTATGTAATATGTGCTCAGTGGTTTGGCTCACCTGTTTCCTCGGGAAAACTTGGGTGACTTCTTGCCGACCCATTCGTCGCTGAGCTCCACGTCGCTGGAGTCAGAGCAGTTGCAGCTGTCGGCGTACGAGATCATGGGGTTGACGCACACCTCCTCTGAAAGGGGGGTGGGGGGGGTCACCAGAACACACGTGAGCTCCTTTTTTGCTTTGTTTGTTTTTAAGGGCGTGGCTTAAGACGTCAGAAGGAGGGCTGCCGCTGCGCGAGGTCAAAGACGAGTCGTGTGAAAAGAGAGAACGTGCTTCGCCTTTCAAAACGCTGAGCCATTTTGATTCTTCCACCCCGGTGACGCAGAGCTGGCATTCGAGCTTGAGAAGAGTTCTGAGGGCCTTGCTACGGCATCGCCAGGCAACCAGACGCATCCGCGTCACATTCGTGTCACTTGTACGTGGCACTCAGTGAGATTTAATGAGACGATTGGTTTTGTGGGGGGGGGAGTGAGAAAAAAACTCAAAATGTGCTTGTTCAATCATGAACTTTAGCTATTTTTCTGATTTCAAGAAATCAATTCAACAGCACCAGTTTGACAAAACAAAGTTGAACTTTTTGCACAAAGAGGCACCAACATAATTTTTAGGGATTATTCATTCAACCTAACTTTTTGGGTTATTCACGCAACCCAAAAAGTTGGGTCGAATGAATACGATGCAAAATATTTTGTCGCTTTTTTAAAATTTTGTCAAGCAGTCAATGTGAAATATCAAAATAGGACCGACTGACCATCGATTGCAGTCTAAAACAGAAAAGACTGACACCATATAAGATGTTTTTAGTGACGTTCACGCCGCTCACCCGTTTTGCTGTCAGTTTTGGGATCGGTGATGACAAACTCGGGCCTCAATTTGCTGATGCGCCGGCCATTGAGGATGGGCACCAGCCCTCCCAGGTACTCCAGGTAGAGCGTGTAGCACGGGCCGCCCGCTTCGGGGCTGTCCTCCGCCCGCTTCATGGTGCAGTGCAGCCGCTCGTTGCCCGTCGTCGGGTAGCTGACAAAGTCTCGGATGTTGTTGGGGTCCGGGATCGGTGGCTGTGACACAAAACGGCACGTCAACCTTCGGTGACCCGAGGCACGTCAAATGTCATTTTGTCTGTCCAAACTGCTGTCGTCAGGCGGCACCTTGATGGTCGGGATGAAGGCGGTGGTGACGTAGG